ACTCTGATTTTTATAAAGCATAAACAAAATCGGTCTTTTCTGGCCGTGAAAATGGGGATGTCACATATACTACCTTCCACATCTATCCGTACTTTCCTCAATGATTGCTTCGACTTCACCAAGTCCCTTATACTACTGTTGCACTCTTTGCTAATCTCATCCTAGGCTTACCCTAAGGTAACTCTCCGATCTACTCTCCGCCATCAGCTGCATAAGGAACCCCTGCTACCTTTACCTAACTAGCTTGCGAATACCATTACATATTACTAAGACCAGATAATTCTTCGAATGAAAGGTCCTACCCCACAACGGTTGGACTCAAACAAGAGTTGCGCAGTAGTGCTAGACCTAACCTTCTGAAATTATTTCGCCCTTGCAATAGGTAACTTAACGTATTCGTTTACTAGTTAGCTAAAGATAAATAGGACTCCCGAAGCACAAAGCAACAACATTCGGGCATTGAGTAACCCAATCCAGTTATACTCTATCCAAGCTATCATATAACTGACTAATCACTATTAGCTCAATAAACACATATAACAGGCATATCAGACATCTTCCTAGATCCTTAGCCCTAATCTAGCATGCAGGTCTCATACATATACAGTAGGCATATCAGGAATCCTTCCTAGATCCTTAGCCCTAATCTAGCATGCAGTTCTCATAATCATATCATAACATGTATGGGTATCTTGGGGAAAACTTACTTGAGCTCGTCCGGTCGCGCACATCACACATCTTGTTCTTTTTCAAAGTTCTTTTCTCTTTTCAAACTTCTTTTCATAAAAAAAATGATTTTCTTTTTGAAAAATTTTCATACCAAGTCCTCAGTTTGAGTTCAGACACACTCGAGAGTGTATCTGAATCCCTCAAACTAAGGCTCTGATACCAACTTGTAACATCCCAAATTTCAAGGCCAAAAATTTCATTTTTAATTAAGTAACTAATAAATAGTTTACCAAGAACATTGCCAATATCATATCAATTTATAAAAACCTTAACAACGTGTCTCAAACCATATCATCAATAGTAATAAATATCAGAGTATAATCCCAGAAAACTTAATGCGGAACTCATGTGTGTGTGATGCGCTGCTACACCGCCGGCTCCTTCCCCTTGGATGAAGAGGTACCTGAAACCAAAACTGAAACTGTAAGCAAAAAGCTTAGTGAGTTCCCCCATCATACCACATACCATACAGTCACATAGCATACATGCTGTCGGGCAATT